GTGGTTGTTGTAGTAGTACGCACTGAACTCGGAGTATGAACCACGCAATACGAAGCACGGATTAGCAATCAAAGACATCACGTAAACACTGGACCACACAGGTACTTGCACGCAAAATCCCACGTAACTGAGACGCGAGGAAAAGGCCTCAGGAGTAGTAGTTCGTTTATTGAAATAAATAAGGGGGATTAAATTATATGTACGAAACAGGCTCATTGGTCATCCAGACCCCTGCCAATCGCGTTCTAGTATATCTGCCGTTGTTCTGCTTCTGTCTGAGCCTCACGGGTTCTCATTGGCTGGTACAATCGGACTATGGTATTTAGTCCAGAACCTGTGACACGCGCGCGCTTTGTTAACGTCACCCGTGAGGCTTGATTGATCACAACTGTCACAAAACTGTATTTCGTCGCTCCAGGGTATGCGTCATCTCGCAGGCCGGGGTTACCATATTGTTCAAATGAATTTGTGAAAACCAACCTGCGTGAGTGAACACCGAAACGACTAAGCCACTTACCAGTACAGCGGTTTCACATCTAGCTGAAACAAATCAAACTGTTCATTTGACTGAGGCTTTCGTCCCACGGAATAAAGTACATGGGTGATTGATTATCGAGATAGGTTCGCTGTTGGATAATTGCCTCAGCACACATACACACACCGTGTGTGTGTCCTCAAAAACAATTTGTGCAAGCGCTAAAACCTCCCTTCGCACTCCCTCCCCCCACCCACATACACAGTGCATCACGAGTAATCTCGGTGATCGGATGAGCGAACGAACAACTATGTGATTGTAGTGAATCCGATTTCCGGTCCCATGAGGCAATCTTATCAAGTAATCTGTGATGTGATTTTATTTTCCTCAAATAATTTTACTCACAAGTGCTAACGTTTGTNCAACTATGTTGTTTTGATTGATTAACAGTTAGGATTCCAAGTTCCCCTGTGGTTCTGTTCCCTGAATTCGGCCTATCATCATCGAATGATTGCATTTGACGCAATTGCAAAGTGCATCATCATAAACATCACCATCATCATCCGAATCATCATCATCATCAACATCATCAGAAAAATCATTCGAATCATCATCACAATCATCATCCAAATCATTATCATCATCATAATCATCATCATCATCATCATCATCATCATCATCATCATCATC